TACAAGTACCTGATAGTTTTACAAGCCTGTGTTTCAGACAGGGTAATTGGATGTCTCTGATATGTGAGTTTGGGACTTAGACTCATTAACTTCTTTCAGTGAACAGAATATTTCCCAGCTAACTTTCTTTTATACCAGGTGGCATTCCCAGTGCCAGGTATATTTTGAAATATATTACCAGCAGAAAGTAAGAAAAAAACTTAATTTGGAAGTACAAACCAATTAATTTCATGTTGTTTTATTAGGAGTATCTTATTATGTTTTGAATTATATTATGCGTACTATTTAACCAAAATTGTTCTCTTTTATTCTGGATGTATATTTGGCCTTTGTACTGTAGTTGCTGACTGCTTTTCAATGTGATGATAACCTAGAGTTGCTAAGAAGGGCAGGTTGCTTACCTTTGTGAGTTCTGTGCATTCACACATATGGGTTCAGTGCCTCTACAACCTATACATGAAGAGTACGGGACAACCCTTCCCCCCCCCCCCACACACACACACGTCTAAACTGGCTACATTACACTGATCCAGCCACTGTCTGAGTGGAGTGGGCTGACACTGGATCTGAGAGCTGGAAACATGCTAACTTACAAGCCAAGAAGAGGACATGGGACCTTGTGGCAGAGGGACAGACTTAAACGCTTGTGCAGTCTGGGAGCAATAAGCTTCAGCATTTGCAACATTTCTTCAGGAAAAAGCAAACAAAAGGGAAGATGTGAGGCTGCCATAGTGCTGGTCAAGATACAACTGAGGGAATATATGTTGTGTGCATTCAAGGCAGCAGTGTTGGTAGGTGGAGTGGGGAGCAAGTGACCAAGAGGCTGGAGTGGCTGTGTGTTCTCGGATGGAGAAGGTGGGGATGGGACTTCAGGAGAAATAGGTGAGTGGATAATGGGATGGGGTAGACAGGCCTTCAGCAGGGATCTTCATCAACAAAAGCAGTTGTATGGGACTTCAACAACACTATTTGAAGGGCCTTTCATTTGCTCCGTCTGTCTCTTTCATCCCATCTGTCTCCTTCCATGGAAGCCAGGGTAGCGTACATGGTCCTCCTCATGTATACCTATTAATTACAGTAGAAAGAGCTTGACAAGCAAAAAGCGTTTTCCTTGTCTCTTCAAACTAATGTAAAAAATAAAATTCTTGGCATCGCACTTGACAGCTAAGACTACTGAAAATTTTTGACTGGTGCTCTAGAACTTCGTTGGGTAACTTGACCCTTTAGATGCAATTCATTGGAAATATAATGAACTCTTTTTCTATAGCCCTTTGGTTACAGTATGATAGGATAATTGCAGTTGCTGCTATTAACATTAATTCATTTTAATCATCTCCTTGTTGCTAAATACAGAGAGAATTGAGGAAGAAACCGACTGCAAAGATTAAAAGCTGATAGTCAAATAGTAGTTGTAACCACTTGAGTTGAGAAATATAAACAGGGGTAGAATTTGCTGTACATCCTAAAGCTCTGTAGAAGTTCTTTAAACACATTTGTTATTCCGATCATGGAGCAGAGAAAGGCCACAGTGGGTTATTTCATTCCCTTCCCCCTGCATGTGCTGCTTGAGTGGGAGTGATTGTGTGAAATTAATTAATTAATATACTGCCCAACAGCTGAAGCTCTCTGAGCAGTGCACAGCAGCCAATTAAAAATACAATAAAAATACTCCATGTTAAAACATACTAAAACATAACAAAAATTTTACTACACAAAATTTAGCACAAATTTTATACACGCACGCATGCAGAGAGACAGAGTAACTTGGAGACAAAAATTAGCTGACCCCACCAGGAGGACCTCAGTGGGAAGCTCATTCCATAACTGGGAAGCTACCACTGAAAGGTTGGGGCATCCATGTAGCTGGCATCCATGCCTCCCTGGGAGGTGGCAGCTGGAGGTAAGCTCCAAAACTTGATTGTAATGTCTGGGTAGATGAAGATTGGAAGAAGTATTCTATCAGGTATTATGGTCCCAAGCTATATAGGACTTTATAGGTCAAAACCAGCACCTTGAATTGGGCTCGGAAGGATATAGGCAGCCAGTACAAGTCGACCAGAATTGGGGTTATGTGATCAGGCTGTCTAGTCTCTGTTCTGAGTCTGGCTGCCACATTTTGCACAAGGTGCAGTTTCTGAGGGCAGTCTCATGTGGAGTGCATTGCAGTAATCTAGTTGAGAGATTACCAGATCACTGATAGCAGACTAATCTACTTCTACCACACTTTTTAAATAAGTTACGAAAGGACCGGGATCTATTTTTAAATCTCAATAAATAAATTTTGTATACAGATATATTAAAAAAATTACATTAGCTAAACAAACTTTAAACTGCACATTATAATGTCTGCCTTGTTTCATATCTGTATGTCCATTTTAAAAATATAGTAACTGTAGCCATACTTACCTTCCCGAAACTTCTTTTGCTCTCACTTTAGGGTAATTGCAGTAGGCTAATAATCTGCAATATTTTAATTAAAATATCAATATGAAAATTAAGTTTTAGAACACATCTTGCATTTTACATGTATATTGAAATGGGTTTTTGCCCTCAGAATTATGATGGAACCTTCTAAAGGTGTAAAAAGCCTGTTGGTTAACTAAATTTAGACTGCATATTAAGCCAGAAGGTGTCAATATGGTTGGTTTGTATCAGGATTCACAAAGGCTGAATTCTTCAAGCATCCCTACTTGCTAGGAATCCTCCTAAATATTGCCTTTGATATTTGGAATTGTTTTTATTGCTTGAACCTCATAGTAAAATATGATCTTCATGTGTCGTTGTCTTGTCTTTCATTTAATAAGTGCATGAAGAATTTGTTTTATAGGTTGAAAAGGCTGGTAAATAAATCAGTTGCATCTGGTTCAGCAAGAGTGCAAAGGGCACTCACACTGGCTAAAGAGCTTCGAAGGGACCTTAGGATAGGATTTTCAGGGAGCACAGAGCATATGATGGAGAGGATAGCATAGGCAATTTCCATTAAGCAGACTTCTTTGTTCGAGTTGAATAGCATACATTCTTGCTTTGCTTTGTGATGACCATCTACAAGTACAAGAAACATCTGGCTGCATTGAATAATCTTCTTGAACTGTTTGTTGTTCTTTTCAAGCAAATAGACATACTTTAGCTCAGTCACAAGATTTTAAAACATTCTCTTCTTGTAATGTTGATGAATATCCACACAATTGCTTCCTATAGCCTGAATTGCCAGATCCTACATGCCAAAGCCTTTGATTGTGTAGATCACAACAAATTGTGGCAAGTTCTTAAAGAGTTGGGAGTACCAGACCATCTTATTTGTCTCTTGAAAAACCTATATGTGGGTCAAGGAGCAACAGTGAGAACTGGACATGGAACCACTGATTGGTTCAAAATTGAGAAAGGAGTTTGGCAAGGTTGTATACTGTCGGCCTGCCTATTTAACTTATATGCAGAGCACAACATGAGAAGGCGGGGCTAGATTAATCACAAGTTGGAATTAAGATTGCTGGGAAAAATATCAACAACCTCAGATATGCAGATGATACCACTCTAATGGCAGAAAGTGAGGAGGAACTAAAGAGCCTCTTGATGCGGGTGAAAGAGGAGAGTGCAAAAGTTGGCTTGAAACTCAACATTAAGAAAACTAAGATCATGGCATCTGGTCCTCTCACTTCCTAGCAAATAGATGCGGGAAGAAATGGAGGTAGTGACAGATTTTATTTTCCTGGGCTCCAAGATCACCGCAGATGGGGACTGCAGCCAAGAAATTAAAAGATGCTTGCTCCTTGGGAGGAAAGCTATTGCAAATCTAGACAGCATTCTAAAAAGCAGAGACATCACCCTGCCAACAAAAGTGTGTATAGTCAAGGCTATGTTTTTCCTAGTTGCAATGTATGGCTGTGAAAGTGGGACCATAAGGAAGTCTGAGTGCCGAAGAATTGAGGCCTTTGAATTGTGGTGCTGGAGGAGACGCCTGCGAGTCCCTATGGAATGCGCTCCCCAGAGAGGTCCGACTAGTGCCGTCAGTATATGTTTTTCGGTGCCAGGTCAAGACCTTTCTATTTAATCAGTATTTTAATATGTTTTAATACTGAATTTAAGTGTTGTATTTTATTAATTTGCAGCCAGAGTGGATTGTCAGTTTATCTATGTTGTAAGCCGTCCAGAGACGCAAGTAATTGGATGGCATACAAATTTTATAAATAGATAGATAGATAATCCTAGAGGAGATCATCCCTGACTGCTCTTTGGAAGGCCAGATTCTTAAGATGAAACTCAAATCCTTTGGCCACCTAATGAGAAGGAAGGACTCCCTGGAGAAGAGCCTAATGCTGGGAACAATGGATGGCAAAAGAAGAAGGGGACGGCAGAGAATGAGGTGGCTAGATGGAGTTCCTGAAGCAGTTGGCGTGAACTTAAGTGGACTCCAGGGGATGGTGGAGGACAGGAAGGCCTGGAGGAATGTTGTCCATGGGGTCATGATGGGTCGGACATGGCTTTGCGAGTAACAACATCAACAACCTCATTTTGGAAGCTAAGCAGGGTTGGGCCTGGTTGAAATCTGGATGGTTGACTTAAATGTTGTGAACCACCCAGAGAACTTTGGCAGTGGGTGGTATAGGAAAGTATTATAAATCATCATCATCATCATCATTTGTACATAAGAACAATGCAGAAAGGTGCAGTAGGTTTTAATTCTGAAGTTGAAACTATGCTGTTCATAAAAATTGCTTGTTAGAATTCATTCTGATTGTGTTTCCTGCATTTTGAGCATACTGTATGGTCTGGTCTGTGCATATATGTAATGGTTTCACAGATCTCCCTGTGCTTCCAAGCAGGTCACTCTCCCCTAACAAAATACTTATATATAATCTGTATTTCAAAAACATCTGTGAAATAATTTTTAAAGTTAGCGTGCAAGATTCTTTTTATACTTTCTATTTCAAAATGATAAAAGGTAAGTGAAGGGGGTGTACAGAAAAGCTAATGTTTCCTTTGCTTCTTTCTTTGAAAAATAGATCAAAAAGTATTTGGAACTTGAACCCCTTGCACGAGGAAAGCGCTGGATACTTAAACCCTGTTCCTTGGATGATATGGAAGCAGTAAAAGACAGCTTCAGCTTGCTGATAAATTTACTAGAAGACAGAGATTTTGAACCTTCAAGAATGTGAAGAAAACTAGGATGGTTCTCAAACAGCCTTGTACCTGTTCGTCTTGCATTCAGCTGAATTATGGTTTGGTTTAAAGAAGACTGTGTTAGAGCTTGCAATAAATATATTTTTGCATTTAGTCTGGAAAGCCTGTTTATAAGTTTTGTAAATCAGTTTTGTAATTATTTTCAGTTAAGTTGTCTGTACTACTGAATGAGGAGGTCCTCTTGTTTACCGACCAATCTGTTCGCTGTATGCCATTTTTCTGCATTGTCATTGGAAAGACCTTAATGTGGAATTTTGCTGCATATACAAAATGTTAAACAGCTGTAAACAGACACCAAAAGCTATCTGGAAATTCTAGACACAGAAAACCAGAGTAAATCTTGAAACCAAGGAATGCATTGCTAATGCAGAAACCCTTACTGAGTGCAAACACCTCCATTTTAATATTTCCAGTTTTAATTCTTTTTAGAGAGAGAGACCATGAGGTGAGGCATACATGATGGACTTTATCAGTATTTTGTTATGAATTTGCAAGCATCTCAAGTGCAGAAATGCAGCCTTTGTAATCATAAGCTGAGCTGATGATTTCATCAAATGGTGACAAAATGGAGGCTAAAAATTAGTAAAGATCATGGAACAAGAACAATAAGCAGGTTTAAATAATCACTGGGTGTATTCTACATAACTAGTATTATGCTAGAATTCCTAGGCCATGGAATTTTTTAAAGTTCATGTTTCTGAATTATAGTCAAAAGCCTGTGTTTCTTAAATACCCCTATTTTCAGGGGCTTATATTTCTTTCAAACATTGAATCAGGCTGAATGATGGAAGAAAAAATTTTGCTCTGGAGCAAAGGATGTTTTTTTTATGTTGTTCTCCCATATATGACAGTACTCCCTTTAGTTCCAAGAATGTATCCCTTTCCCAGGTTTGCTGTTTTGAAGCCCACAGACTGCTTCAAAATTAATTCAAAACTGCCTTGAGTTTTGGCTGTCCAGCCATAATACACCAGGTGATCGAGTCTGCTAATTTGGATATCAACTTATATTCATCTACAAGTAGGAAATGGGTTAGGTCTTGGTAGAATATTACAGCATGGATGATATTACCACATTTAATCTTACCTCCCTATCTTTGGCTAGGTTTTTGTTTAATATTCTGAGATAAAAGCAGAATATATTTGCTATGCTTTCTATAATTTACATTGGAGCATAAAGCTTATGAATCAGTTTCTCAAATATATACTGCACTCCCCCCCCCTTTTTTTTTATAACAACTATTGGATGGGGCCATTCGCTTATCCTGTCCTCATCTTGACTATTACTTGCTAAGGATGTCACATGATATAGTCTTAAGTAATAGTGAAATTATTCAGTAAGGTAGTAAAACATAATTGTACAACTGACCAATGGGCCAAAATTTCTTACGCTAAGGGTATTTGGTAATTTTTGCCATAACCATTTACCTGGTTTCTGAAACATCCCTTTAATAGAAACTGGACTATAAATTTTAAAAAAGAAAGGGTCAACTTCTTTTAGTAGTTGCCTAATTCCACCAATAGAAACCAAAATCATCTAAGGTGGGCTATGGTTGTTTTTGGGGACACCAATGGTTCCTGATTTATTTTTGGCTTAGAAAAATGGCATCATTGAAGCTTTTAAGCAGAGTTTAAAATAAGAAAGGAACGCTTATCTAACTGGTTTCTTGTATCTAATGGACCAAATACATGGCAAGAAAAAATGGGCCCAATTTCCCTGAGTCCCTGAAGAATGTCTTCAGCAATAGATGCACTTCAGACTGTGAATATGGTTTTGCCTTCAGCTTTGATCATGAAGTCACCCACTATGCACTGCAGTTAGGTGCAGGACAGCCTAACTAGCAAAACAAAGAATCAAGCTTCAGCCACACTGAATGTAGGGTGCAATCATAAGCACATTTATTTGGGGGTCAGTTTCACTGAATTTGGTGGAAGTTTCTGATTATTATACATGCATAGCATCAGACTGCAGAAGCTTTATGCAAATATCTAGTTCACAAGAAAATTGAATCTGCACATAATTTCATCAGAAATGCTGAAAACTCTAAACTATACTCCACTCTACACATTAAAAAAGATACCTCAGATCTGGTAGAGAACATCAGACAAACACTTTCATTTTAATTGTTCTTTGATGGTTCTGTGTTGTACTTGGATTGTGACATATCAGTTAAGTTTTTATATCTTTAAACATATTTTTTAAAAAGTTAATTGATAACACATGTTTCTATCTAAGGTGTTCTTGAATGTACATTAATCTGTGAGCAACAGTGCAGTTCTTATTGTTTTCTTCTTGAACTGGGCCTTCATCATAGAGATGAACAAAATCCCATGCCATGCTCTTTCTAGGAATTACTTATCCATGGAACTTCATTAAATAGTGAATATTGTCTGTCTCTTTTTTAATTAACAAAGTTGCTGTGGTGTAAAATTCTTATGGACATCTGTTAAATTACTTTCTGGGTGTGTTTGTGTGTGAATGTGCCCACATTGGGTCTTTTTCTCAGACCTACGACTGTCCGCAGTACTTGGGCAGTAAGAATAAAAACATTATCAATCAGTATCCAACAGCAGCTGTTTTGACAGGTTTCTGTCAGACATCTAATGCTTTACAACTGTCAGTGGCTCCTTTTGTCTACCAGTTCTAAGATGTTCGTTGTGTTGCTTCCATGTTTATACCCTGTACTAATATCTGTGGAAGTGCTGGCATTTTTGGGACATCTTTCATGTGTTCAGTATTCTTCCCCTGTATTACATGCCACATGTCTCCACTTACATATTCAAATGCTGTACACAGAAGTGTGTGTTGTGTTACTGAGCTTCTTGCTTTTCATTATTTATAGAAGTTTAGAGATTTTTGTACTTAACTAGCTAACACAGTGCCCTTTTTTGGTTTTTGTTTTCTTTTGTAATGGCAAATAATTTATATTACAAGATTTGTATTTCACTCCAGTTAAAAGAAATTATTGTTAGCCCACCATATATCCCTGACTTTTTACTAAAAGTACAGCATCAAAACTTGGTTGACAAATTCATGCACAGAACCACTATGGAGGAAGAACTGTTTGTGATTTATATAGTTTACGCTAACCAAAATGAAAATAAATGCTGTGTAGAACATTTACGTATGTATACTTTCCTCACTATTATCAGAATACAAAAGACAAAAGAATGTCTTTCTTTTCAGATTTCATTGATATTGTCTGTTCAGGACTCTGTCTTGCATAGATCTCATTGACATGCACAAATAACTTCCAAGAGCCCAACAACTTGCTTCAGTGCAGAGTTTATAGGAAGGTCTCAATGGGCCGTCCACTGTGATTCCCTTTAAAGTGTGGGGAGATTTAAAAGGCAAACGTAAGGATTTCCCACAGCAACAAAATCTGAATGTGTGAAAGAATCTACACCATCATCATCACATTGCATTTATATTATGCCTTTATCCTCTTGCAAGGAACCCAAAGCAGCTTTATATACATAAAGATACTTATGCTGGAATGTAGCATTCAATAAATCTTGCAGATTATTAAATTTTAAGACTATTATGCAGGATTCTAGTCTGCTATTTGTTGAAACATGAAATGCATGTGAATTTTGATGGTTTGGTTTGATTTTCAGATGAGTTCTTCCACCAATAGCTTAAAAAGTCTAACATGCCAGATTGGTTTTCAGAATAGGTCAGTTTTCAAACACCATATAGCAATGTTACCATTGAGGAACACTGACCAGAATAAATGCATATGAAAAAGTGACCAAGACCCTGGGTTTTGCTTATGCTCATGCAAAAAGCTTGTGTTGAACAAGTGGAATGTTTGACTTTAAAGCTTCAATCAGCTGATACCCAGGGATCCCCATCTTCAATTTCTTTTCTGACCACCCAACAGCTGAAGATCATTGGGCAGTTCACAACAATTCTCAAACTTCTTTTCAAACTTTCATCCATTTGAAAAGCGGCCTGGTATGTAGCATGGAGAGCTGCACTCCAAAAATGACTTGTTCCAGTATTCTTTAGAACCTGGTCAGTCTACGTACCTGGGTTTGGTGTAGGGTTATGCATAGGGTTGTTTTAGTAATAACAGGATTTAAAAAAATACTTTCCACACACATGCATTTAAGTGCAATCTGCATGTCATTTGTTACACATGCTGATCCCAAGTCCATGTCCTTTTTGCGTGGTGTGTACATACATTGTAAGTTCTTATAGCAAGACAAAGGCTACTTCCCAAGCTAAGGCTGTGTGGCATACCAGATAAGCTCATATGGCAGTCTTGTGTCGAAACACTCTAGCCTTCTATGGTCCATGATCTGTTTAGCTGTTACTCACTTTCCAAACAGCACAAATACTTTACTCCTGCACTAAACATCAGCAGGAAACTTCTTTGCTACGATGTTCAGTCATTGTTAGCACACTACATCTGTTTCCCAAGTGTTTACCATGCTAGAATCAATCTATAGCCATTGGTGAGCCAATTGTTTGTAACCACCACATCTTTAGTACACATTTATACCTATTCAGAAGAATTCAGGGAAGCAAAATTTGTTTATTTTTACTATTTATTAATTTTCCTATAACTTATAGCTCTTGGGACAACAAGCTGTAAACGGTCATATGCCATTCAAAATCCACAGCATAATAAAACGATTAAAAGAAGTAGACCTCATAAATATGGTGCCAGAGTATTAGCAGGAACGCTTATAGGTAAGAGTTAAGCATTCAATGTTGTTGTTTGTTGTTGTTGTTATTATTATGCATTATATCCCACCTTTTTGCTTCTGGTGAAGAGCCCAAGGCTCAGGGTAAGTGTCTGGCCCAAAGACATGCAGTGAGCTTCATGGCCCAGTGGGGAATCCTAGCTTTCCAGTCCGACACTTTAACCACCACATCATGCCATCTCTCAGGAGTAGATCATTCTTTCTCATAGTGTTTGAGGATCACACATGTGGAATTCCCCAAAAGATTTGTTTTCTAAAGCCCCAAATCCCATATTCTAATTTGGGTCAATTCATGTTAGTATAGGTAGCATTTTATTGGTACATTCTCCATGCTGAAGTTTGCTAAGATAAAAGCAAAAACACAATTGTTACATATTATTTATTTGTACATAAACGGACACATCATTTGGATGATGTGTTTATGATTGCCATGCTGAGTTCCTAGTTCATGCTTAGTGCAACCTCAAAAGATTTTCAAAATGTTGCCTATTAAATACAACCTTTTTCCCCATTAATAAAAACACGATTGGCATTTGTTGGTCAGATGGTCCATAAAGATAACAACAACATGAATTTAGTAATATTAATTGTTTATATTATAAAAACCCTGCTAGATTCCCTCATAGTGAGTTTTGAAAAAAATTCTGCTAATGTGACAGAAGGTACTACTACAACAACAGCAGCAACAATAACGTACCATTCATCCAAAGAAAGTAAGCTTTTCCATATTCTTTAACTGTTTTGGAAACAAGAATTTGAAATGACACTTGCATTGTGGGTATTTTTCTGGTTGCTACAGCTGTATAAGAAAAAAAGCAAAGTGGGCAGAGGGGGGGCATACACCCCACCTGCTTTGGGAGCCTGCTGAGATGCTAAAAGACTGCATTTCCATACCAGCCACTAGCCCCTTGGCACAGTGGGAGTGGAGGAGACTTTCCTGTCTAAACATGCATAGGATTGCACCCATGCATAGGACTGCACCCTTGTAAATAAGTCAACACATGGTAACTTGTGTTGACTTATTTACAAGGCTGCTTAAAGTATTCCTTTGCTTTGGATTCAAATGGAAAGGAGGAAAAAACTATCAGTTGCTTTTAAGTTTGGCAGAAGAAGGAAGAAAATTACGTATTTGTGCAATGGTGTGCCCCTCAGTATTTGCTGTTTAATCTGTTTTAATTGCATAAGTTTCTAATTAACTTTTTACTACTGTAAGTAGCCTTGCGTCCATTATTGGGAATAGGTAGGATATAAATAAAAAAAATATTTCAATACTAGTCTATGCATATTTACTCAGGGGTAAGTCATAGAGGGTTCAATTGAACTTAGAAATAATGTTGTATAGGATTGTAGAATTAAGGCACAATCTTATGTATATTCAGACAAAAAAGCTCCTGTGTTGCCCATCAAACTGGCTGGGGCATGTTGGGAACTATAGGACTGTTTTCTGGCACATAGGATTGGATCATGAATGGATGAAATCAAAAGTTTACTGAAAGTTTGAAAGGATAATAACAGGCTTTCTAGTGCATTTATTAAGTGAAGAGACTATGAACTCTAAAACTATCGTTCCCTTTAACTTTTCAGTACTCATGGATGGCCTCTCTCACTCAGAAACTAATTATAAACCAAACTAGCCAGATCCTGGCAAGAAGAGATCTGTAGAATTTGCACTGTGCAAATGTGTTCCCTCACTTGCTGTTCTACCTTTAAAGTAATGAGCATGACCTTAGTGTGACAGTAAATAAGGTAACATACGGCTGCTAAAATAATGGCATACATTACTGGTATAAGGAATGTTTACCCTGCATTCCTTACTTTTAGTGTCCACAATTAACCTGCTCCACAGCTGAGAAAATAATTCTAGCCAACAGTGATAAATTGACAACACCTCTCCCCATGGAAGTGGCAACAATATTTATAGAAGTTACTACAAACAAATGCATATCAAGATATAGTGGTATGTTTAGCTAATTTTAGTCCTCCGGATGTGCCAGGGATACAAGGCAACTATACTATTGTAGTTAAAAGTAATCTAAATCCTCCCCCACTTCATTACTAAAGCAGGTTGGCTTCCTGACTACAGTTGCTTCTTTTCTTCTCTTATGTTTGCTTGTGGTACTCACCCCTGAAGGAACCGAAAGTCTAGCAGTCACAGGAGCTAGGGCAGAGCTAGGGATAAGCTTGTCTTTTCTGGATCCTACTGCGCTAGCCATTGCGACATAATCCATGATAGTGGCCATTCCAAACTTTCTGCTAGGGGAAACTTTTGCCAGCCTTCTTGATTTTGCATGATGAGGATCTGAAGTCATACATGACTCAGAACGGACCTTGCGGTTTTCATTCAGGTCCATCCCAGTGAAAAGTGCCTAACCTTACAGATTGTAAATACCCGCCCTGCCCCCCCCCGCCCCATATTCTTCAAGTACTTGATTTGGCCTTAGTAGTAAATCAAAAGCCATGTGATTCATTTGGTATGTTGATGCATTTTTTTCAAACCCACCATTAAAAGAATTGTGTACTATGGTTTGAAGACCAAATATTCCTGCCTGTTTCCACTTTTCTCAGAATGAGGTAAACGAAATATCTAGCAGGAACCATCCTGGGATGTATCCAAGCTGCTAATAGAATGCTTTGTAGCTTGTCTTCTGGGTTTCCTGAATCCTGACTGATTGGTTTCAGAAAACACACAACCACCTCTAAACTTGTCATTAACTTGGACTAATATTCAGTCAGCCAAACCTGACAATGTGTAACTTAGGTAAGGTGAATATATGATGAAGCTACAGCATATTTTGACCTACACAATATATTAGGTGGTATGAAAAAATCCCAGCATTGATGTTTCTTTGTGGCTAGGAGCGACAAAATGGATGGTGTCATAAATTGGACTTGCCGGTGGAAGTCAGTGTGTGTGTGTGTGTGTGTGTGTGTGTGTGTGTGTGTGAGAGAGAGAGAGAGAGAGAGAGAGAGAGAGAGAGAGAGAGAGAGAGAGAGAGAGAGAAGGAACACAACTGAACTATTAAGTTGTGTATATATCATAATTATTTTACAGCAAGAAAAACAAGTGTTACCTCACCTGGCTGCCAAAGATAAAACTGCTTGACCTCGGTGGTGGCCACTGCCCTGGGTTTTAGGTACATTCTAATTCTACAAGCCAGGAGGGCTTCTGGCTGGATTTGATGAATCCTTTTGCTTTGATTAAAGAATACAGAAGACTAAAGGTCAAGTTTTTTTAACCTCTAACTTCAATGCTGCCTGCCAGAAAAACTCTAAAATTTGGTTCAAGGTGCGGAAAGAAATCCTGTTAAATATATTCAGTGCTGCCACATGCAATCCAAATTTTCCTTTGGCTTTTTCCTATTCTGAAAGGAATAATAATCCATTCCCACAGTATCATCCCTTCGTGTTGCT